GTGACGGTGAGTGTTGAGGGTGAGTGGTGGTGGTGAGGGTGAGTGGTGAGGATGAGTGGTGGTGGCGAGGGTGAGTGGTGAGGATGAGTGGTGGTGGTGAGGGCGAGGATGATTGGTGAGGGTGAGCGTGAGTGTTGAGGGAGAAGGGTGAGTGGTGAGAGAGTGGTGAGGGAGAGTGGTGAGGGTGAGTAGTGGTGGTGAGGGTGAGTAGTGAGTAGTGAGGGTGAGTGAGTGGTGAGGGTGAGTGTGAGTGATTGTGAGTGGTGAGTGATAGTGAGTGGTGAGGGTGAGTGAGGGAGAGTGGTGAGGGAGTGGTGAGGGTGTATATATTTTTGCCTATGATGACAGCAGTATATGCTGACGTTATGTATGTTAAATGTAAAAGCTAAATGTGTGAATGTGTGTGTCTGTTGGCGACACGCAGTTTGTTAAAAAGGGAATAGGGCGATTCTAAAGTAATCTCCAACCCTCGATTCCTTCGCAACGATTGCAAAGAGTCGCTTCTTTTCGTGCTTGGGCTACATTTTAAATTACAGAGTTTTATTTTCATTGGTATGTTATGTTTTAAAGTTTTCAGGAGTTTTTAATTATATTTTTGCCCCGGTCAACGCCGGATATTTCCCATTCGTAGCAGTTTATATCAACTCTATAATCTACTTATATTAAACGGGATTAAGCCGATTCTAAAGGAGTCGACAACCTTCGTTTCCTTTGCGCGATTCAGAGAATCGATTCTTGGCGCGGTCGGTTTTAAATTACACAGTTGTATTTTCATTGGTATGTTATGTTTTAAAGTTTTCAAAAGATTTTAAATGTATTTTTCCCCCGGGCAACGCTGGGTATATCGAGTTTATAGCACAAAGTCTTTGCCTGACAAGTGTGGGGTGTCGAGGCCTAGTACCGTGCAGAGCCTCCGGCCTCGCCTAGATTGCCCACCCGGCCGAGGCTGGGTGCTGGGGCCGTTACCCCCCCCCCCACGCTACAATAATACTGTCTAATCGCTATAATTTTATTATCTACCGACCCTATAATAGTAATTGCACACATTGGGGTGGGGGGGGGAGTGAAGAGGACGTGAAACTTTGATGAATTTACCTCAGCGTCGTGTGTTAATGTGTGCGCATATTTTTAACGGGAATTTATAATGGCGTCCACCGCGAAGCGACGGCGTTTGCTGCCCGTTGCCAGGGGCCAACCGCCCGTTGCCAGGGGCAACCGCCTTCGCGCATGCGCAATGGCGTGCTTCGTCACATGCCGGTCGGCAATAATAAATAAATAAAGAGAAATCGCACTAAATCGATAATCCGTCCGATTTAAAGTTTAGAGACAAAAAATCGGAAATGCCTATGTTCACCGCGGGGCTGGGGGCGTGTCCAACGGCAAAATTTAATCTCGGCGAACCCCACGGTCGGAGAGCCAAATCCCCCGGAAGCGAGCGTACACAGACGGACGGACAGACAGACAGACAAAAAATGAATTATATAGGTTAGATGTTAATTATCTATGTTGAATGCATGTGTATTTAAGAGTTTGTCTTTGTGGGGAGCTGTGGTGCAGTTATTTCACTGCATTATAAACTCAACAATTAGTTTGATTATCGCCGACAGCAAACATGATTGATAAGTGAAAGCTGAACTTATTGTGGGCCTCTGCTATGTTGATTGATCTTAAATTAATTACATGGTGAAGTGAGGAAGCATTAATACTGAGCAGATGAAGGTGGCCAGGCATGGTTCTGGACACGCCACCAACTTTTTACCATACCAGTGTGTAACAGTGTCAAGTTTGTATTTGTAGTAAAGTATATTAACGATTGAACATGGAGGTTAAATCAAAACAATAGTTTATTTTAGTTTTCCTCTGGAACTTTTGTAAGATTGGATACAGGAAATTAACACAGCATATATGCAATTGAAGTTAGATCTGTTCATCCAAGCATTCAAGCAAATCTAAGACTGGCTTCACACCTCTAAGTTGCGATTGAACATTTATTTATTTATTTCTACATAAGACAAATCATGTTATTTTCAACAGCCTTTGCTATGTTTGCTGAATTTTGCTTTTATAAATATTTATTTTGCAGCCAGGCAGCCGAAATTGTGTTCTTGGTGTTTTGGGTTAATATTTATTTTGAAGCTACTAGTGCCTCCAGGCATTTATAACCATTTGCCCTCTCATTGTGTCCCTTCACAGCCCATGTGATGAATTGGGGAATATCTTGAATCTTCTTTCTTTTCTTTTTTTTCTTTCCTTCTTTCTCTTATATATAAAAGTCTACGCGCGCTCGCGCTTGCGGGGGATTTGGCTCTCGGACGGTGGGCTGAACGTAGAAAACAATTTGACAGGCGGCACGCCCGAAGCCCCGCGGTGGGAATAGGCTATTCCGTTTTCCAATCCGTTAACTTTAAAGTAGTTTAATTAACACATTTGTGCCATTTATATGATTAATTATTTACTTATTGCGCCACATCGACCGTACCAAGTGACGCTAATTGCTTGGGGGGGGGGGGGGGTGGACCCTGTCAAGTGGTGCGCGTTCACTCAAGCTCACGGGGACATTTTATTTTACGCGTTTAACAAGGAATAGATATACACATCACGCTGCCGATTTCTCTTCACAGTGTGATGTCCTCTTCCCCCCGCCACCCCAATGCGTGCAGTTACTGATACAGTCCTTAGATATTAATTTAATATTATTAAAGCTGTTACATAGTATTATTCTGGCGAGGGCAGGGGGGGGGGGGCGAGGGTAGTGGCCCAGCCCGCAGCCTGGCAATATCTCACCTCCGGCTTGCCAATCTGGCGAGGCCGCGGGCTCTGCACGGGACGAGGCGTTACTACGCCAATGTAAAGTACTATTTTATTCAATCTTTCGCTAAGAACTCAGGTTTATTGCTTTCTATTATTAAACAAATTTATTTACAAACATTACAATGATAATGTTTGTGTACACATAACAACTCGGCTTCATTCTTTACTATTATGAAACTAAGGAGTTGCTTAATACTCTATTACTATTATAATGTTCGTGTGCAGAAACTACATGCGTGTGCCTAAAGTCGATGTCTGTGTGTGTGAGTCCATTTGTGTTTGTGTGCGTGTAAGTCGATGGGTTTCTATGTGTGTGGGTCCATGTCTGTGTGTAAGTCCATGTGTGTGTCTGTCTTTTTCAAACGGACAACGCCTCGTTTGTGTGTACGTACAATTGTTTGTGTGTGTGTGTGTCAGTCCATTTGTGTGCATATCTGTCGCTATGTGTGTTTTAGTCCACATGTGTGTGTAAGTCCATACATGTGTGTTTCACTCGATGCGTGTGTGTAAGTCAATGCGTGCGTGTGAGTCGATGTGTGTGCATGGCTCCATCTGAGTGTGTAAGTCAATGTGCGTTTGTGTGTCTATGTGTGTCAGTCGATGCGTGTGTGTTAATGTCTGTGTGTCACAGTCCATATGTCTATGGGTGTGTAGGGAAATGTGTGTGTCAGTCTATGTAAGTTTGTATAAGTCCATGTGTGTGTGTCTTAGTCGATGTGTGTGTAAGTACATGTGTGTTTACATCTATTTGTTTGTGAGTCCACGTATGTCTGTGTGTGAGTCAATGTGTGTGAGTCACTGTATGTGTGTACGTCGATATATGTGTAACTCCATGTGTGTGTATCTAAAGTGCATATCTATGCGTGTGTGAGTCCATATGTGTGTGTGTCAGTCCATGGGCGTCTGTGTTAGTCGCTTTGTGTGCATGGCTCCATGTCAGTCTGTAAGTCCATTTCTTCGCGTGTCTGTAGGTCCATGTGTGCGTGTGAGTGAATGTATGTGCTTTATGGACCTGCTCAAGGCCTATGATACCATCAGTAGGCCTGGCCTCTGGGTTGTTCTTCATGCTTTCGGAGTCCCTCAAACTTTGCTCACGATCCTTAAGGACCTTCATGTTGGTGAGCGGCCCCGTGTCAAACTACGTGGCCGTCAGTCAGAGCCATCCCCTCTACACCTTGGAGTGTGACAGGAATGTCCTCTGGCTCCACATTATTTAACATATATTTTTACCACGTAGTTCGTGAAGACTTCAATGATTGTTCCCGAGGAATTACCATATGTTACAGATACAATGGGAGGTTGATCGATGCCCGGGTGCAGTCAAGGGATGCCTCCCTATTGCTCAACCATGTTATGTATGCCTATGCTCTGGTGATTGCTGCCCACTGCGGCTGAACCTGGAGCTTGCCACTAAGAGGTGCGGCCTTACCATTAGCCCCACCAAAACTAAGCACCTGCCTGGGTATTTTGTACCATCGAACAATCCACCCCCACAACTCACAATTGGTGATGCGGCAGTTGTGGAGAGATTGCCGAGATTCCAATACCTGCCCAGTGTGCTCATGACCGGCTCCGGTTTAACAGCAGAGGTCTCACTCCAAATCAGTGGAGTGGCATTATCTTTTCATCAGTTGCGTAATGCTGTGTGGAAGCTACCCGGTCTTTCGCTCCGCATGAAGCTCCAGGTCTTCTCGGCCATGGTAATTCCCTCCCTTCTCTACGTTTGCGAAACATGCACCCCCCTAATGGAACGTCTTCGCCAGTTAAAAACATTTAGGCTGGCCTGCTAACGATCCTTTCCTGGATTTAACCATATATGTGTGTGTGTGCGTCTAAGTTGATGTGTTTCTACGTGTGTGGGTCAATGTATGTGTGTAAGTCCATGTGTGTATCTTCCTTTTTCTCCCGAGCAATGCCGGGTACTTACCGCTGTATATGAATAAATATAGATGTGTAAGTCATGTGTGACTGTGTATATATTCATTCCTCTGTCTCTATACTGACATAGATGGTTTGCATATGTTTTCTGTCTGCAGCTAACGCTTGTTCTGATGCTTCCTCTGCAGAATTGGTCTGATGGAGCAAAGTCACTCAGCGCAGCTCGGTACAAAAAGACAACAATAGGACCAGTGTGCATACATCATGGATTGTCTTGGAAATTTGACACAGCACCCGAAAACGCACACAGAAGAGAAACCCTTCAAGTGCACTGTGTGTGAGAAGGCATTTACATGGTCATCAAATCTTAAAAGACACCAGAGAACTCACACAGGAGAGAAACCCTTCAAGTGCACTGTGTGCGAGAAGGCATTTCCACAGTCATCATATCTTGCAATACACCAGAGAACACACATAGGAGAGAAACCCTTCAAGTGCACTGTGTGTGAGAAGGCATTTTCAGATTCATATGCCCTTAAAAGACACCAGAGAATACACACAGGAGAGAAAGCCTTCAGGTGCACCCTTTGTAGGAAGGCGTTTTCAGAAAAATCACATCTTAAAATACACCAGAGAACACATACGGGAGAGAAACCCTTCAGGTGCGCTCTGTGCGGAAAGCCCTTTGCAGTGTCATCACAACTTAAAGTACACCAGACAACACACACAGGAGAGAAACATTTCAAGTGCACTGTGTGTGAGAAGGCATTTTCAGATTCATTTGCTCTTAAAAGACATCAGAAAATACACACAGGAGAGAAACCTTTCAAGAGCAGTGTGTGTGGGAAGGAATTTTCAAGTTCATCTGATCTTAAGATCCACCAGAGAACACACACTGGAGAGAAACATTTCAAGTGCACTGTGTGTGAGAAGGCATTTTCACAGTCATCAAATCTTAAAAAACACCAGAGAACGCACACAGGAGAGAAACCCTTCAAGTGCACTGTGTGTGGGAAGGCGTTTACACGGTCATCATATCTTAAACAACACCAGAGAAGGCACATAGGAGAGAAACCCTTCAAGTGCACTCTGTGCGGGAAGGCATTTTTAGATTCATATGCCCTTAAAAGACACCAGAGAATACACACAGGAGAGAAAGCCTTCAGGTGCACCCTTTGCAGGAAGGCGTTTTCAGATTCATCACATCTTAAAATACACCAGAGAACACACACGGGAGAGAAACCCTTCAGATGTGCTCTGTGCGGGAAGCCCTTTGCAGTGTCATCACAACTTAAAGTACACCAGAGAACACACACAGGAGAGAAACATTTCAAGTGCACTGTGTGTGAGAAGGCATTTTCAGATTCATTTGCTCTTAAAAGACATCAGAAAATACACACAGCAGAGAAACCTTTCAAGAGCAGTGTGTGTGGGAAGGAATTTTCAAGTTCATCTGATCTTAAGATCCACCAGAGAACACACACGGGAGAGAAACATTTAAAGTGCACTGTGTGTGAGAAGGCATTTTCACAGTCATCAAATCTTAAAAAACACCAGAGAACGCACACAGGAGAGAAACCCTTCAAGTGCACTGTGTGCGGGAAGGCGTTTACACGGTCATCATATCTTAAACAACACCAGAGAAGGCACATAGGAGAGAAACCCTTCAAGTGCACTCTGTGTGGGAAGGCATTTTCAGATTCATATGCCCTTAAAAGACACAAGAGAATACACACAGGAGAGAAAGCCTTCAGGTGCACCCTTTGCAGGAAGGCGTTTGCAGATTCATCACATCTTAAAATACACCAGAGAACACACACGGGAGAGAAACCCTTCAGATGTGCTCTGTGCGGGAAGTCCTTTGCAGTGTCATCACAACTTAAAGTACACCAGAGAAGGCACGCAGGAGAGAAACCCTTCAAGTGCACTGTGTGCAGGAAGGCGTTTACACGGTCATCACATCTTAAAATACACCAGAGAAGGCACGCAGGAGAGAAACCCTTCAAGTGCACTCTGTGTGGGAAGGCATTTGCACAGTCATCAGATCTTCATAGACACCAGAGAACACACAGGCATCAGAAGATCCCCAAGAAGTGTAGTCTGAAATCGACTTGTGAAAGTCAAAGTGCTGCAATGAGCCTATCCTTCCTGAAAAAAGAACCAGAAGTAAATTCCAGCCCTGACACTATGAAATGTATCAAGGTGAAATGTGAAGAGGTGACAGTGAAGAGCGAAGAAGTGAAGGTAAAATGTGAAGATGAAGATTCAACTCTAAAATCGGACCTTAACATCAATGGATGCAACGTGAAGCAGGAGGAAAATTCTGACTGTGAGGCAGAGCGAGGCAACTCTCAGCAGTTTGTGGAAGTGGAGGTGTGGGTCGACTTCTTAGACAATACGAAATCAAATGGAGACCCTGTAGATGTTTAAGCTTGAGACAATGAAGCTCCAATAGATGCACCTTTGTCACAGGCCTTTAACGAAAATAACGCTAAGTTAAACACTCAATTCCTCGGTTCAACCTGCATTGTAAGAGCGGTTAGTATTTGCGGACCTTTGGGTTGGGTAGATCTCTAACTAGGAGTGAGAGCCAATAAGCCCAAGCATTCACTATGTTATAATAATATTAGCATTTTTATGGTGCTTGCTTAATCACCTCAGCAACTCGGAGTTTTGTATCATATCTCATCACAACCACTCGAAGAGCACGCCTTTTGGCGTCCTCTGGTCGAATACTGTTTGAGACTAGGCTCGAAAGAAAGCTGTCTCTGGTGTGAACCAATCAGTTCCAAAGACAACGCATTTCTTATCAGAGTATGTTTTTGGTTTGCACTCTGACCACAAGTATGGTGGTTAATGCAGACTTAATTCATTATAAAAGGTTTCAGTTTGGTGTTTTAACATCTGCATATATGCCTTTCCTAAAAATTATATTAAGAATGATTCTGCCTATTTTTTAAAAAATAATTTTGATCGGGATGTAGCGCTGGAGCATGGAAAGGGTGAGTCGTCGTCGTCCCCCCCGCTGCCTCCTGCCTTGCCACACAAAAGAAAGCTGGAAGATAATTACTCACAAGCCTGTTTGGGAAGTCATAATGTAATATAAAAAACTGCAAACCCAAGGGGGGGCTAATGAGATTCTGCAGGAAATCCCCAGTTGACTTCAAGAGAAGGCTACCATAAAGGAAACAACGGACAATAAAACAAACATAAGACGGCAACAGCAGGGGTCACGAACCTCCCTTGGACAGCAAAATCCACCCCAGGGCAGTTAATCATTATGAACTGATGGGTTTTTAAGATACAGCAGTAAAGTTTGAACCTTAGCTGTATCTTCAACCTTAATATATCAAAATATAACTTGAGAATAAGAATCACGGATCCCTGGTGATACAGACGGGGAACAAAGTTTAATAAAACCCTCGGAATATCTTTGGTAACAACTATAGTATACCACAAATCTCGGTTAAGCATGAACCAAATAATTATTATTGAAGTATTAGATCTAGGGTCATTCATAAGATATACAATGCGAAATATGTCAATCACACACGACCAAGATAATATGTATTCCACGGAATCAGAACCTCACCAACAACCTTCGTCTTCCAGTAGCTAATAGCACATGGTAGCAGTAAATTATGTATGCAGGGGGGTGCCTCCCCCTAATATGTGAAATACCACCCAAGAATTCAAAACCATGACGCGAGTGCTGTGAACGCTGCTCAAAACGTACTTCGAGTCACTTGCAGAGTCAAAACTGTGGAAAGTGGTACGGTACCAAGCTATAAGAGGTGAATAAAAAAAAAATGTACTTCCAACCCGTGATGAGAGGATGGAATACATGGCGACAGCAAGCACACCCTTGCAGGTCACGACTTCAAAAGCCACAGCGCCCCTTTTTGAGAGAGACTGCAAGTCTGATGCAAAAACATTTTTACACTTCCAACCCGTGATGAGAGCGTGGGGGACGCTGCCCAAAACGTGAACAGAAACATGGCGGTAATAAAGACATCCGGACAACAAACAGCTCGAGCGATGTCAAAAGGAAACCAGCTGCACCTTTATGAAAATAAAGTGCCTGAGGTGGAAAAATGCAGATATAAACAAGAATGCAAGAACATAAATCAGTACTCCTCAAAGAATTACCAAACTAACTGTCGAGAAGTCCGGGACCATCAAGCACATCACCGATGAATGCTCCATCCATGCACATCCTGGCGGTATCGCTGAAATCCACACTGTCAACCACATTTTTGGACTCCATGAACCTTTGCATTCATTTATGACGATCATTAAAAGTATCAACTGTTGCTTTTCAGAATGCCATATGAAAGAAAAAGAAGTACTGCGAGTGGCAGGCTCCAGGGATTGTCCTCGCGACTGGAAAATCGATAGGGAGTTCTGCATCGGCAGATGCCACGCATCACGGATAGTGTTTTTTTGCGTCATTGAGATGTTGCCAGCCAAGGCAAAAAGACAACATACACCCACACACACAACGCGCATATTTGTACCAATAATATTGTTCCAAAAAGTTACCTTTGTGTTTCGAAAAGGGTTGCCATCCCAAGGTGGTGCGTTAACTATTAGTTGATCATGAAAAGCATTGTTCTGTCCCTTGAGTTACATGAATACGTTCATTTAGAAGTATTTGTCATTTGTTTTCATTAATTGCATAACCTTACCAATGAATTCATTGATGACACACTAAACATCTGTCAGCATCTATGTTACGAATCTACACACAGGAATACTATTGTGTTGAGATTTTTTTTTATCACAATCTTTCCTGCGAATGCATTGATGTCCCATTAGCCAATTTATGAGCATTTGTTAGCCAAACAGGCACACTAGCACTCACACTTTTTTCAGGACATTTCGTTAATTGCATAATCTTACCAATGAATTCATTGATTTATACTTTTGCCATGGGGCACATGTTTCTTTAGCATGTTTCGCATGAATATTGTAATTTTTTAACGGACTTTTCCTATCGCCGTGTATGGTCGCGCTCCTTGGGGGAGTTAGGAATTAGCCGATTGTTCTATTACTCCGTTTTAACAAACGTAACCATTGACAGTTGATTGTACGGATCAATGATTAGGACATCTTCATTAGTACGGTGTTGACAATTCCGATCACAAGTATGTTCACATATCTGAGTGTTTTTAGATATTAAAGTTTCTTAACATAGATAACATAGAGGAGTCTGAGTGGTTTCTTTATTACGTTCATACATGATCATCTTAATTATAAGAGATCTGAATTCTGAGACCTGATAGAATTACACTAAAACATAACCAGTAAAAGTTAAAGCGAGAATCATTGTATTATCACGATTGGTAATACACCCATGACAACGAAGATAATCCTAATTGGTATAATTGCATACATTTTCAGAATTTCATAAAATTACACATTTTCCATTGTATTATCACGATTGGTAATACATCCCTAGATAACTAAGCCGAGCCTAATTTAAATAAGCATAAAGAAATGAAATGTCTTTTTTTTTCAAGACTATATGCAACAAGCACTGCTGCCCCTGTGTGGCATAAGGTGGACCTGCACCAGCCTGCATGTGGGTATGAGTCTGTTGGTAGGGGGCGATGATTGATGTGTAATCTCAGTTGTGTAATTTGTGGGTAATGTTTCGAATTTGCCAAATTTTAACCACAACGCCAGCATGCATTCGCATACACGTTTTGAATGACAATTGTTTGTTTTAGAATCAGCTGTTAAGAAGACTGTGCATATTTGTAATTCATGTTCCTGGACTAACCAGGGATGCCTGTCGGATTTTAACCTTGAAACTGCCACAAAAAGAGTGCACCACCACTTGGCTTCCCTCAATCTGAGTGCTGCAGGTGTAGGCCTCATCCGACAGAGATCAACTTGTCAATACGATATAACGTGATGAAGTACATTTCAGTGCAGTAATTACATTTTGTCAATATCGATCATTTAGAATGATAATTTAATGAATACTTGTCTGATTTTGTGCATACCTGTAACATTTTGTCGATAAAGGTCAAACATGGAATACGTGATTGTGAGGAGAAAGTGTGAGAGCTGTTGTTCTTGTGATACGGGTCAACTGGTATTTTTCGTGATTCAGGAAGCATCTGCCTCTGGAACAAGTCATTGTCTTTCAAATAAGGAACATTCGCATCATTCATCAGTTACAAGGCGTACCACTTAATAGTTACGTATACCGGATACATTCTCCACCACACGAATTAAAATTTTGTATTGCGTGTTTTTTTTAATTTTGTCGAACTAGGACTAGAAATGCTCCTTGCTGGTTAACATCTCGGTGTGCGTAACCATCGGTTGAAGCCAGCCTGATTGCTGTTCAGACATTGTACACCAATACCGGCCCACAGGGGGATTGCACTGAATCAATGATGCACTCCCAGAAGGCTGTGCTATGTATAGTTTGTGTAAAACATTTATTTGCTTCGTGGAGAGACCGATAAATGAAATAGATGTCGTGTCTACTGATCTGTTTCATTGCAAGGAGGTAATTTTAAGAACACATTTGAAATGCATCATGGATTTTTGTTACAGATTTGTATTCTAGCCTAGGTTTTATTGGATTATAATCTGTTTAAATTAAAATTAAATAACCGTGTCCGTCGATATCCCGCTGCTTACCACATCTTTACTTAAGTATGTAAAAGCCTCCTCTGGAGACATCACCTCAAAGTCTCGAGTGGGTGATGTCAGCGCCTCCCTATCTGGTTTGTGACCTCACCAAGAACAGAACTCCCCTCGTCCACGGGACGTGACGACTGTGCACTGAGTCTTGGAATTAATTTGCACGGTCATCAAATCTTGACCGAAAACAGAGAACACGCACAGAAGAGGAGCACATCAGGTGCACTTTGTGTGGTAAGACGTTTGCACGGTCATCAAATCTTCACAACCGCCAGGGGACACACATTAAAAACCCCGTCAAGTACACTGTTTGAAGGCTTTTGAAGTGTTTTGAAACTGAAACACGCGTAAGGAGATCAATAAGGAGCAGAGTCGGCATTCGAAGTGTGAAATTCTAAGTGCCACAATAAGCCCATAGCTTGTAGCACAAGAACCATTAGAAAATTCTAGCTTGGATACATGGCCAGGAAGAAAGGTGACATGAATACTCCAGGGTTTGAGCTCCATGTCGTCAATGAAGGCAGCTGAAAGCAGGAGAGGTTGGACTGAGGGAACTCGGGACAAATTCCAGCCGATTGTCGATGTGTAGGTTTTGGTGGAATTTTTAAAATAATGAAGAGTAGGAGCAGCCAGTATATTTGACCATACGTGTTGGGTAGATCCTGTAATCAGGAGGCTGAGACACGGAAGCTCAATAGCATGCACCTTGGGATACTAATACTGTACAATATTTGTATTTATATGGCGCTTAATTGCCCCAGCAACTCAAAGTATCTTGTATCAAATCTCATCTCAAACAGTCGATGGCTACTCCCGTGGTGTAACTGTCCCTGTGCCACATGAGTTGACTCGGCAACGGTCTAAGTGGACGTTCGTTTGCCAGTAGGGCGATGATTGATCTCAGGTGGGTAGCTTTTGGATACCTGTTAAAATTTTGTAAATCTTAACAATTACATTCGCAATGAATGGCTTATTTATTTTGAATGACATCCGAGGCATTTTAAATCCACTGTGAAACAGATGGTGCTTATTTTTTAATGTTACTGCAGTAATAACCAAAGCTGCCAAAGCTGCCGGCCCCATTTGAATCTTGAACCCCTTCAAAGGCAGAGCACTGACAATTATCTGCAAAAAATACTTCCCGAACAGATCCTCTGTCATCCTCATGTATTGTACCTTGCACAACTACACTGGTTCCATGGACCTAATCATAATACATTTCTTTTCAACATATCCCAAATAAACTAAAGATGGCCGCTCACTTGGAATCTCAATAAACCTTCACTTGCTCCTGATAATCCAGCTAAGCAGTGGAATCCATGTCCAGGTTGTAACATTCAAATATTACAAAGTGGCGTCCAGCCATGCAGGACTGGCTTGCAACACTTACTGCTGTTATAGTATTTGATTATCGTGTAGTTTTTCTTTGTCTGATTACTTAACATCAAATGTGGGGCCTAATCTATGCAGGCGAAATACACTGCACGATCAATCAAAAACACAACACTACAGCCAGCAGCTGGGATGTACAGTGGGCTTGCAGAGAAACCTGCCATTATCATCATCATGCAAAGTTAATAAAGTAATGTCAGGGTAAGACCAATTATATCACGCAAAGGAACTAAAAACAAACAAGTGCTACAGTCACTCCCGACATTTTACATGTTTTTTAATTATGAAAATGTCAAAGTTTATAAAACCTAATATAAGTATTAAATAACTTAAAAAAAATAAAACTAATAGCAATGTTCAACAGTTAACATTTATACTCTACTAGCGGTAAGTACCCGGCGTTGCTCGGGCGAAAAAGGCAGACACACACATGCACTTACACACAGACATTGACCCACACAAATAGAAACACATAGACTTAGACGCACACACACACATATATGGTTAAACCCAGGATGGATCGTTAGCAGGCCAGCCTAAATGTTTCTAACCGGCGAAGATGTTCCATTAGGGGGATGCACGTTTCGCAAGCGTATAGAAGGGAGGAAATTACCATGGCCGAGAAGAGCTGAAACTTCGTGCGGAGCGACAGACCAGGTAGCTTCCACACAGCATAACGTAGCCGATGAAAAGATAATGGCGCTCGACTGATTTGAAGTGAGACTTCTGCTGTTAAACCGGAGCCGGTCATGAGCACACTGGGCAGGTATGGGAATCTCGGCAATCTCTCCACAACTGGCGCATCACGAATTGTGAGCTGTGGGGGTGAATTGTTCGATGGTACAAAATACCCAGGCAGGTGGTTAGTTTTGGTGGGGCTGATGGTAAGGCCCCACCTCTTAGTGGCAAGCTCCAGGTTCAGCAGCAGTGAGCAGCAATCACCAGAGCATCGGTATACATAACATGGTTGAGCAATAGGGAGGCATCCGTTGACCGCACCCGGGCATCGATCAGCCCCCATTGTATCTGCACCATATGGTAATTGATCGGGTACAGCCATTGAAGGCTTCACGAACTACGTGGTCAAAATGTAACGTAGTAACTTGGCGGGAGACGACTTTACGGGTAGCACACTCTTTATTAACACCAACTTATTTTACACGGGTGGCTAACTGCAGCCTAACCCACGGGGTTCCCCTGGCTACACCCACACGGGCTCTTACGCCCCGTAGATCCTCGGAACCCACCCGGCTGGGGTGTCCGTCTCGACTCTGGGTCCCACAGCCTCGTTCCACATGGACGTCAGACCACGGGTCCGACAGTCTCGCCTCCGAGCCACACAGGGTCCCGGCCCTTACAAGGACAGCGGGACTAGGGGTCTCAGGGCCCTACCTCTTCAACTCCGTCTTCGATCTTCAACTGGTTATCAACTCCCCGAGTGCTCCCGCGCGTCCCCCTTTATAGTCCTCCATGCGGACGTCGCTGAGAGCACCCACCCCAGTTGACCAATCACTGCGTGCTGCCCAGGATCCTATTTCCCACATTGTGTCAGCGCGCACAACCACGCACCCCGCGCCGCCCCGTGATCCATCACTGTCGGCGCGCGTCAACACCACCACACTTGATGTAGCCACGCCCGGCCCGCTCACACACACGCCCCCCCCTTGTCAGCGCGTACCGCCACTACATCACCCCCTACCACATTGTGTGCCCCGTAACGCAAGCAACAATCACAACAACACAACACCATAAGAACTCCGCCATCCGTAAGAACCAGAACATGCCACCGCAACAACAAGAACAATATGTACAAACCGGCGAGCGACAACAATAAATGTGTATACAAAAAAATGACTCGTGCAGCGTCCCTTCATTTCCGACCGCCCCTTGAACGGGACATTATACCGGGCAGAAGGGGAACGCGGCGACGAGCTGCAATCTTGGGCCCCCCCTCTTTTTTTTTTTTCATGAAAAGTCCGCCTGGCCGGTCCGTCGTACGGCACCAGACGCGGTTGACCGTCCGGTGGCGCCGGCAGTCCAGGAAGGCACGGGGCAGGCATCGGAGATCCGCGCGTGCCTCGGGGTTCCGGTTCACGACGGTCAGCAGCCGTCAGGTCCGAGACACCTGGGAGCGGGTCAGGCGGAGACACGTGAGGATCAGACTGCGACACATCCCTCCCCGAGTCGACGGCCACATCACACGCTCGGTCGTTACGGCACAAAGGGAGGCCATGTGGTGCCGCGAAGGGTTTCAGCCGGGAGGGGTGTACGTACCAACGGCGTTTTTCGCATTTAATCTGGATACTCTGGGGTCACGCAATACGCACGATTTCCACAGGTCCCCTCCATGGTCTCAACAATTTAGGGGACGTAGCCAACGGTGCATGTGGGCAGTGCAGCCAGGCCTTATCGCCTGGTTTCCAATCGTGCGTATACACCTTTTGTGCATGCAATCTTTCGTTAGCGATCTGGCGAGACCTCGAATTCAACCTCGTAGCCTCTCGCGCTTCAGCCAGTTTGGCGATATTAAATTTGATGTGGTCGGCTAATTTAGACTTCGCACGTGGCTGGGAAATCCCCAGTTGGACATCCATGGGCGGACCATGGGCGGATCGGCCTCCCGCCCATACATGAGAAAAAATGGGGAAAACCCCGTCGCCGCATGGGGGGCCATTCGATAGGCCACGAGTACCCCAGGTACTTGTAAGTCCCAATCAACCTGATCGTTGCAGCAGACCTGTTGGCACAGCATAGAAGTAATCTTCCTATTAAGACGTTCAACCATGCCATCAGTCTGCGGGTGGTACGGGGAGGTACGCACTTTCTTCGTACCCAGCAGGTCGCACACCTCGCGCAACAAAACGCTCGAAAAATTCTTTCCCTGGTCTGTCAGCAAGCGTTCGGAGGCGCCTTTGTCCAAAACATAGCCCTGGACAAAGGCGTCCGCCACTGCCGCAGCCGACTGGTTGGCGAGTGGCCACGCCATGGGCC